CCCGCTGGGGTGCCTGGCCAGCCTGGGTGAGGGACTGGTGGCTGTTTGCAGGCTGGCCACAGCCCCTTCAGTGTGGGGGTCCCCACTGGGGTGCCTGGTCAGCCTGGGTGAGGGGCTGAGGGCCGTTTGCAGGCTGGCCACACCTTCTTCAGGGTGGGGGGTCCTGCTGGGGTTCCTGGCCAGACTGGGTGAGGCGCTGATGGCTGTTTGTAGGCTGGCCAACCCCCCCAGCGGGGATCCTCACCTTATGAGGGTGTGGCCATTCTGGGTGAGGGGCTGATGGCTGTTTGCAGGCTGGTCATGGCCCCCAGCCACCCAAGCTTCCAGTAGAGGCTGGCTGGAAGCCGGTATCTGGGATTTATTTATCTTCTATAATTGAAACTTTGTTGCCTTGAGCGGAGCCCACAGCTGGCCAAGCTTGGCTTCCTCCATCGCCGGGGCAACCAAGCCTCCTGCTTGCTCCAGCTTCGTGGCTGCTGGCCACCATCTTGGTTGGGTTAATTTGCATATCGTCACTCTGATTGGCTGGTGGGCGTGGCTTGTGAGTGTAGCAGAGGTATGGTCAATTTGCATGTTTCTCTTTTATTAGATAAGTAGTAGCTTATAAGAGAAAAAAGCCTGTATAGAAAGTCAGCTAGGGCAAGACCTGTAGGAGATGGGACTGAACCAAAGAGCCAAATCTCCAGATATGTGTGCTCCAGACTGGAAGTGATATGGATGGGTGGGAAACTGGGAGGAGAACCAAAAAGGCCTAGAAGCATCAGGAAAGCATCACAGATGAGGCATTGGAGCAATTTGAGCACAGAAAAGAATAAAGGAAGTTTCAAAGCCAGAAGGAACACAGCATGTGTATGTAATGGAGAGAGGTTGTGAAAAGAGTAGCATGGAAAGGTTTGAATAGGTGACCTTCAAGGTACTTTTCAATCCTACGTGCCTGCAGAGTGGAAGCTGTTGGTCTGGGAAAAGTCTGGACCATAGAGATCTCCCAACCAAAACATACACATGCCAGCAGTAATAGTGGCTCACTTAGGTGTGATTTCTTGTGCAGAGGTCCTGCTTTTCCCAGTTAATTAATGAATGTAGTCCAAGTCACCTCATTACACAGATCGGGAAACAGGATTTACCCAGGTGTTATGCTACAAGTCAGTAGCAAGTCTGCAAGTCAGAGCTGAGGCCAAAATCCAGATACACTGTCTTTACTCCTGTGCTCTTTCTACAGTGTTCCATTAGATAGCAATATTGCAAAAAAGCATGTGTTATTAGATACATAGAAAAAATTTGGCTTTTGTTTTCCCCAGATGAAAAATAAAAGATACCAGTGGCAATTAGTTGTCAGGCATGGTGCTGTGTTTTTTGTAAAAGTTACTTCATTTGACACAGCAGTCTTTGAAGGTGGAGGTATAATATCCTTATTTCACAGATAACAAAGACATTGAGGCTCTGAGGAGCAAAATGACTTATCCAAAGTCACATAGTTTGTTGATGTTGGGGCAGAGATTTGGACACATGTCTCATGAGTCCAAAGTCCACCATCTTTCCACCAACCTGACCTGTGACTGGCAAACCCGAGAAAGGAGATGCATTTTAAGATTCATACCACCCTTGCACCTCTGTGGTCAGACTAGACAGCTCGAGATATCAGGTAGCTAATAATAAACAATAGTGATACGGCAATGTCAAGTACCTGGGAATATTTCTTATTAATCATACTAATGGGCCACCATGAGAGGAAAGAGTTTCTCTCTGACTTTTCCTCTAATAGGGCTGGAAGCTTTTCAAGAGCTTCCCTCAGCCAGCCAATATCAATTCAATTTGAGCCAGTGTCCTCTTGCAACATGAAATTAGCCCTGCAGAGAAGGTCCCCAGTTTCCCAGTAGAGTCACTAGCCCCCAGCCTTGCCCCCTGTGACCAGTGACCAGAGACCACTCATATGTCTGCCTGTGGGGTGCAGAGAAAGAAGAACAGCCTCAGACTATATGGCCCTTCCATGAATGGCTCACAGTTCAAACTTGATGCACCTAGAAGAAACTATCCATCTTCCACCCACCCATGCCTCCATCAGTGACCAGGTGCCTGGTTCTATGTGAGGTTCTGCAAGGAATGCTCACCCTCTTCCTCCCCAGGAGCTCTCCTTCCCAGTGGCTCTGTCTGCTCGTTGTTTTGCTGTTAGCACCGTCCTTTGTGTGAACCATGTCATCATCTTTAACTCTCCCCTGACTCCTGCCAGATGATCATCAAGCCCTGCTCTCTGACTATTTGTCCTCACAGCTTCTCTCCTCCCACTTCCACTGCCAGTACCCTCCGTCAGCCCTCACCAAGTCTCCCTGGTTTCCCTGCCTCCAGGCTGTCTCATCCAGGCCATCCTCCATGTGGCCATCCTCCACACGGGCACCATAGTGATCTTCAAAAATGCAGCCTTCACCTGTGCTCAGTTATCAGGTGACCCTTTCCGCCCAACACACACACTTAACCTTTGCAGCCTGTTCTCGCGCAGCTCCTCAGCACAGCCCTTCCCCTTTGAACCAGGCTTGTCTCACCACATGCACACAGCACAGTGTGCTCACTTTTGTCTCTGCATGAAGTCCTCCCTTGATCTCTCCTGCCGTCCTTGTGCTTTCTTCCTCCCCGAAGCTCCAGTAGTGCCAGAGATCCTCAGTGCTCATCTGGCATCCTTTCCATTCCTGATTTGTCTTGTCAACTGCTGCTTTTTTTTTCTTTTTAGCCATTCCAGGCTGGCTGTAGTTGTTCCCAGAGAGGGATCACACTTTTGTTCCACTCAGAAGGAGCCCAGCACACTTCCAGGCATATTTTTGGAGTTCAGGACAGATTGCTTAGATAGACCAGAAGATATGTCATTCTCATGTCCAAGCCTATAGGCCTATTGGCTCGTTTGTATATTTACATAGCATTTTTTTAAAAACATTTTATTGATTTTTTACAGAGAGGAAGGGAGAGGGATAGAAAGTTAGAAACACCGATGAGAGAGAAACATCGATCAGCTGCCTCCTGCACACCTCCTACTGGAGATGTGCCCGCAACCAAGGTACATGCCCTTAACCGGAATTGAACCTGGGACCTTTCAGTCCGCAGGCCGATGCTCTATCCACTGAGCCAAACCGGTTAGGGCTACATAGCATTTTAATCCAGATTAAAATAGCTATCATTTATTGCATGCCTACTATGTGCCAAGCACTGTGCCAGGCATTCTATCAGTCAGGTGCCATTATTGTCCTCATTTTACTGAGAATGGAAGTGAGCCACACAGATGAATCACAGATCTTGTTCAGGGTCCATAGTCTTGTTTTCGCTCTATTACACTGCCTTTTAGAGGCAAATGTGGAAGCTCAGAGACAAGTTCAAACTCTGGAGTAGTGGGTATGTAGTGACTTGAGGTTCTGAATCTTTTTTATCCCATCCCTTCCTTTGCTTAGCATCTTCAAAGCCATGGGGCAGGTCCTGCCAGATGAGGATCAGAAGAAGCTGCTGCATATCTGTTCCATTTATACCCAGAATGGAAAAAACAGCCTGGTGGAGGATGGCTCAGAGGCCTCCCCTATTGGAAAGTCTGCATACACACTGGACAGCCTGTATTGGAGCCTCAAACCCTCTGGCCCCAACTCCAGGCCTGAAGGAGAAGCCCAGCAGCAGGAGGAGAAGGGAAACCTTAATGATGTCAAGGAAGATGAGATGGAGGAGAATGAGGTCTTAGAAGACCAGGTAGAAGAGGAGGAAGAGGAAAATGATTACCAAGAGAAGTGGGAGGAGGAGGAGGAGGATGAAGATGACGACGATGATGAAGATGATGAAGATGAGGAGGAGGAAGACAGAATGGAGTTGGGTACTTTCTCTTTGGAGGAGGAGTCCCCCACTGTCGAGAATGCCAGGCTCCTGGCTCAGAAAAGAGGAGCGCTGCAGGGTTCTGCATGGCAAGTTAGCTCGGGTAAGAAGCCTGATATACACTTTGTCCCCACACCCATCTGTTCTCTCAGGCTGCCTCTTGAGGCTTTTCTCCATCCTAGAGAAGAAATGGAAAGTAGCAGAAGGTAGCTCCTGTGAGGCAAGCCTTGGAGGCACCCTAGTATATGGTTGACAGCTGGCTTCCCTCCCCCTTAGGACAGTATGTAGGTGCCAGGTACCTAAGCCCTGTCATGTTGCCAGCTACTTCATGCAAAGAGCACATTTAGAGGGGATGGTGTGGGTATGGCCCTGTGCAGCAAAACATAGAGGAGAAAGTGAGAGGTAGAGGGTAGATATATGTCTGATTCTGCATGTGTTTTTCACGTCATGCAGTAGTGCAGGGACAGAGAGACAAAGGAGTGCTTTTTGTGTATATGGGAATGTGTATGTACACATGGAGGCTGGATGGTGATGAGACAGGATTTTGCTGTGTGTATGAGAAAGGAGGAACCCAGAGGCATAAAGTCAGGAAGTAGAAGTAAGATCAGAATAGTGAAATAAGGAGTGACATGGTTTTTAGATGAGCACACAAGCTAGTTAAACAAAACTTGGAGAAGGCAGGGAAGTGGGGGAACATGAATCTGTTTCTCCTGAAGGTGGTGTTTTGAGTGCCCTCATTTAGGTTAGGGAGCAGGAATCTTAAAGCAGGGAGACCCCAAAGGAATGAACAGTCTGGTGTGTGTGTGTGGGCATGTGTGTATGCACACATACTTAGATGTGGGACAAAGTCTTGTTATAGAGACTGAGGGAGGGAGGGAAAACAACTGGGGCTGGGGTGGTGTAGGGTGGGCATGGTGGGAAACAACAGGGAGAGAGAGGGGAGGCAGTGAAGAAACGTAGGGGAAAAGTGGAACCTTTGCCCTTGTGTGGACGTGCATGGAAGGGCTGGGGCATAAAGGATCTGAGTGGTAGGGGTGAAAGAATATGTTTATGTCTATGTGTGTGTGAATGGCTATGTGCCTGCATGTGCTGGACAAACCAAGGCAGAGTGACAGAAATATCTCAGGGGAAGGAGGTCTGTGTTTGTGGGTCTTTGTAAATATCAAAAGTGAGGGGAATTGAAGCAGGAAGTGTGTGTGTGTGTGTGTGTGTGTGTGTGTGTGTGAAAGGCTGTGAAAAGAGATCATATGCTTCTGTGTATATATGCACACATAGTCATGCATGTTTTTGGAAGAGGAGGCAGGGTTGCCAGGAGATATCTGTATGAGGCAGAGAAGTGGCAACAATGAGGTGGAGTATATGGAAAGGCATGAGAACAGGCAGTGAGGCAGCCATCCAGAGATCACCTGTGTATGTTCATGCTGTCACTGAAGGAATATGTGTAAGGGTGTTAGACTACAGAGGCAGGGGTAGTGACGTAGACATGGTTGTGGATGTTAGTGATGGGGAGGAAGGATCATCAGGTCAATGACATGGAGGTAGGGTCCCTGTATACAAAGGTATCTTTGTATGCATAGGGCAATGTAGGGCATCAAGACAGGCATAACTTCCTTCCTGTAAAAGAGCCAGGGGTGGGGAAATAGGCAGGCAGGGGAATAGCCCTTTCTGAGGGGCTTCTATGGGTAACATAAAAGGCTAGTCCAGCCCCGCCTGTATAGCTCAGTGGTTGAGTGTCAACCCATGCACCAAGAGGTCACCAGTTTGCTTTCTGCTCAGGGCACATACCCAGGTTGTGGGCTCAATCCCCAGCAGGGGGCGTGCTGGAGGCAGCCAATCAATGTTACTATTTCTCTTTCATGGATGTTTCTATCTCTCTCTTCCTCTCCCTTCCTCTCTCTCTAAAATCTAAAATCAATAAAAATATAAATTTTAGAAAAAGCTAGTCCAGGGTTGGTACTTTCCAGAATGTTAGGAGCATTGTGACAGGGAAAGTTCTTTGGGTACCAGGAAGACGCAGAAGGCAGAAACTGGATCTACTTGGAGAAGCTCACTATTAAAAGCTTCGCTTGAAAACACTGGATGTACTGATAAAGGGTGTCCCAAAATTCACGCAAGAAGTAATTTTGATAGAAAACACAGGTTTATAATTAAAAATTGTGATTTTTTTTATT